CAGCCCCACAGTAGATTTGCCCACTCCAAATTGATTCCCGACTGACGGGTAGCTGTCTGGCGTTGCAAGCTTCCACAGGGCTATCGCCACTCGCTTCTCAACTGTGAGGGCATCTCTCATCTTGGTATTCTGGAGTTTCAGGGCAGGGGCAGCAAGTCACAAAGTTCCATGAAAGTGCCCTTACGCATGTGAAAGTTTCGCAGCCACTGGGAATCGTCCCACACCTGCAACACGATGTGGTCCCACCAGTCTGTGCTTGTTTCCTGGTCCCAGAATCGGCGTTCCACAGATAGAACCTGCCCCATTAACAACATGATCTCCAAAGCACCGGGGCTCGCGGTTTGAGAGAATTCTGGGTCCATGTCCATGTCCTCATCACGCTTGTCACTGTGCCGCCGTCGCTGCCGCCTCCTCGCCTCGTTTTTCTGGTCCTGGCTCAGCATAAACTGCATGAGAACGTGCAAGGTGTTTACAATGTTCATGACTGCTGTCTTGAGCTGAGCGGGCTCCATGCTTGCCGTGGTATGGAGTCTGCAGTGTTCACCCAGGAAAAAAGGCGCAAAATGGTTGTCTGCCGTTGCTTTCATGGAGGGAGGGGTGAGGCTGTACCCAGAACCACCTGCGACAATGTTTTTTGCCCCATCAGGCACTGGGATCTCAACCCAGAATTCCAGTGGGCGGGGGAGACTGCGGGAACTATGGGATAGCTATGGGATAGTTACCCCCTGTGCAACGCTCCGGAAATCGACGCTAGCCCCGGTACATGGACGCACACTGCCGAATTAATGTGCTTAGTGTGGCCGCATACATTCGACTTTATACAATCTGTTTCCAAAATTCGAATTATGTAAATTCGGATTAATCCCGTAGTATAGACATACCCTTAGTTGTATTATGGCACTTAAACACCAGAGTGATAGGCATCTTAGATACTAGAGATGGGACCCAGGGCCGGTGCAGGGATATTTTGCACCCTAGGCGAAACTTCCACCTTGCTCTCCTCCCCCCACCCCAAGCATCGCTTATTATAAACTTTCAAAAATGAATACAATGGAGTCACATCTTACGCAGGGGTTAGGTTCTAAGGTCAGCGTGTAAGAGGAAAATCGTGTATAGTGAAAATTACCATAAAGTGACAGTATACACTGCATACACTAGAACAGGGGTCCTCAACCTACAGCACGCGTGCCATAGGTGGTACACGAGCCGTATTTTTTTTTTTTAATGGCCCGCTGCCGGCCTGGGGTTCCATTCACTCAGCCGGCAGCGGGCTGAGCGGGCTGGCGGACAGGGCCCTGGCTGGCAGGAGCCGGCGGACGGAACCCCAGACCGGCAGCGGGCTGAGCGGCGCACGGGACCC